CTCAAAAGATGCTCAGGCCAGATCTCGGTAATTGGTTGATTGCCTCCTAGGTGTGAAATTCTTAGGAACATTTAAAGAAACGGAAAGTGAGAGGATTAGCAATGCAGCTTTAAAGAGCTCAGGGGAATGCAGTTTAAAATCTGCCCCCCTTTCCACCCCCACCCCCCCAAAAAAGCATTAAAAAAAATCTGTTATCTTGACATCAGTGTGATGGCAGTTTATCCAGATCACTTTATATACAAGCTTTTTTTTTTTGTAACTACTGCACTGTTCTTTTTTCTTCTTCTTCCTTTTAAGTTTCAGTTTCAGCAGTTTTGAATGCAGAGTACATTAGCTGCTAGAATTGTTCTCGTAGGTGTCAAAGTAAATATTGTTAGTTGTGGAGAATAAAATTATAAAGGCACATTTTGAGCCAAGCGAGAATTTCCAAGTAGCTTCGTGCACACACCCACCCACCGCAGTGCCTAGCGTTAATCATTTGGAATTTAGGCAACCACAGCATACAGCATACAAAAAGGCACAATTCTGGATTGTTGTTAGGAGAAAGAAAGAAAGAAAGAAAGAAAGAAAGAAAGAAAGAAAGAAAGAAAGAAAGAAAGAAAGAAAGAAAGAAAGAAAGAAAGAAAGAAAGAAAGAAAGAAAGAAATGTTCATTATTGCCGCAAAGATACGTGGATCGTGTGAGCTGAATCGTAAGACGTCAAAGAGAAAGAACCTCAAACAGGTTGTTCTGTCTTAAATGTTCTGTCTTTCTGCACATTTGGTCACAAAATAAGGCCATCCTTTGTTTGGACTATGCTCTGACATTCCTAGAGCATCCTGTTTGGGGGTTGAAATGTAAATTTATCCCCCTCAAAAAAGGCATGCCAACCCCCCAGTCCTCAGCTTACAATCTTAATGTCTATTCGAAGTTACAACAGGACTGGAAAAAGTGACTTAACACCAGTCCTCACATTTACGACCGTTGTACCATTCCCCCACAAAATTCCACCACTTGTCGATCAACATGTAGGGACAACGGTTGCAGCCTCTGGGGGGGGGACAGTCACATGATCACCATCTGTGACCTTCCCAGCTGGCTTCCAACAGGCAAAGTCAAAGGAGGAAGAAAGATTCGCTTAATAGCCGCCTGATTCATTTAACGGCTGCCGCGATTCGCTTAATAACTGTGGCACAAAAAGTCATGAAATTGGCCGTGACTCGTGTAACGACTGGCTTGCTTAAGCCATGGAAATTCTGGTCTCAGTTATGATTGTAGGTCTAGGCCAGGGGTAGGCAACCTTGGCTCTTTTATGACTCGTGGACGTCAACTCCCAGAATCCTGAGCCAGCATGGCTGGCTCAGGATTCTGGGAGTTGACATCCACGAGTCATAAACGAGCCAGGGTTGCCTACCCCTGGTCTAGGGCGGACTGTACATTTTGATTTTGTTTTGTTTTGTTTTTTAAAACAAACGGTCCATCTCCTCCCCAAACCATAATTCTAGGTTTGCAAGTTGCAATTTTATCCCAGCACTTTATTTCAAGATTCAAGAAACTTTTCTCATAATTGCAGGGTTTCTATCTTTTATTTCAGTCCAGCTGCTATAAGATAACTGGTTTTTTTAACCACTGCCACAGCAGAACAGGGGTACTGTAATATTCTGTTGCAGAACAGCATTACCACAATTCTGTGTTTTTAGAGACTTGTGAAGCTCATTTAGGTCTAAGCTGAGCTTGTAAATGGCTTACCTTGTTGTTTTTAATAGGTACAGATTTATTATCATTCCAAGCTTTGTTTTTATGATGCTCTTCTCCCCACCCACCACCCACCCACCCTTAGATGCCAGGTCTATTTTTACTTAGAGGTGTATTGTGCATCTTAAGAGATGCATCTTATCACAGAATTTCTCCCTTTAAGCTTAAAACACTGGGCTAGGATTATTTTGTTGTTAAGCCATTGCAGGAAGCACCGGGTCTGTTTTATTAATGAAATATTACAATTAATTACAGTCCTGGGTCTTGTTGTCTGTCATTTTCAGACACGTCTCCATCCTGTTTTTTTAAATAATTCAGGAAGGCTGTCAGAGAACTCTAAAATTAAGAATTAAAGCAGCTGTCTCTTGGGATACATTTTGATTTGGAGTCTTGCACCGAGCAGATGGCTTCAATAACTCCTAGGATTCTGTCTGCAAAATTAAAGCAGCTCTGTTATTAGTGGCTAGGTCAGCTGCTATTTCACAAGTGAAGGATTCATACCTGTGCATTTCATAAAATAACTGCCTTAAAAAGCTCTCCGCCCAAACGGGCTGATGATTTATCGCAGGGCCTTTGAAAGAACATGAATTATGCAGACTCCCCACCACACAGAGAATGCAAGGTGATTATTCTGTAAACTGCTGAGCTGTTTTAAATTGGGATTCCTGCAACGCATGTTCTGGTATTGATCAAATAATGAAATGCTTGCTAACCGTAGAGATTTTATTCACGCCAGCTTTCGACAGCAATCGGGTGGTTTCCATTTGCACAACTTTCTGAAATGTCCTTCGCGGGGGGGTTCACTTTTTTGAGGGGGGGGAGTTTGGGCAGCCTTTTTAGCATTTTAAAATGCCTTTTAAGTTACTTTTTTGAATACGCAAGGAGCGTTTCCTGTTTTATGTCCATTTCCCGTTCATAAGTATGAACCAGTTGCCAAGCAGCTGAATTTTGATCGCAGGATCGTGCGGATGCTACAAAGGTCGTAACTCTGAAAAATGGTCCTAAGTCGTTTTTTTTTTTCCAGTGCCGTTGTAACTTTGAACGGTCATTAAATGCACTGTTGTAAGTCGAGGACTACCTGTATCAAGAAATAATGTCTCAATGCTCCGTCAATGAGTTGTCCGTGGTGCACTCTTGGTGGTTGTTTTCTGCAGCCATTTCATGACCCAAATTAGGCAACATCATCAGAGCTGGATAGCAAACTAGGTAACATCGCTAGCACTGATGATGTTACCTAGTTAGGATCATGAAACATCTGCAAGAAAACCACCAAGCTCAGAGAGCACCTAGGACTCCATAGTCCTTCCTTTCCTTTCCTCCCTCCTCTCCATAAATTCCACTCCCTTCTACCACTGATGATGTTACCTAGTTAGGATGATGAAACGTCTGCAAGAAAACCAGCAAGCTCAGAGAGCACCAAGGACCCCTGATTTCAACTCTGAGCTACAAAGATTCCCTTTCATTGTTTATTCACTTATTTGGTAAATTTATAGAGGTAGTCCCGAGCTGACACCCAGCCTCTTTGAATAATTCCCACACTAGGAAGAGACATTTGACTTGATTCATGTGTACAGGAAGCCCTCGACTTATAACAGTTCATTTAGTGACCGTTCAAAGTTACAACGGGCCCTGAAAAAAAGCGACAACGACTGTTTTTCACACTTAATGGAGATTGCAACCTCCCCAGGGTCACGTGATTAAAATTTGCCCGCTTGGCAACTGACTCGTATTTACGACGGTGGCAGTGTCCCTGGGGGTCACGCGATCCCCTTTGACGACTTTCTGACAAGCCAAGTCAACGGGGGGGGGGTTGGAAGCCAGATTCACTTAACGACCGGGTTACTGACTTAAAAACTGCAGAGATTCCCTTCACAAGTGTGGCAAGGACGGTCCTAAAATGGGGCAAAGCTCACTTAACAAATGTCTCGCTTAGCGATAGAAATGTTGGCCTCGGTTACGGTCGTAAGTCCAGGACTACCTGTGCAACATTCAGAACTTCTGCTCAGTCCCGTATCGTCCCCCAGTGTCAACCTTTTATCATAAACAGCCCAATCAGCCCTGCTTCCAGGTGTATATCTGTTCCTTCGCTGTGTGCCCGTTCGATTAGACGTGTGTGTTTCCAAAACAAGCACCCAATTTTCTAAGCAGATAATCATCATAATCTCCCTGGATCCAAATAGTGTAATCACCACTTTATACTCTCTCATCTCATTCCTGCCCATCCACCGATGTCACATAAGAGGGTTTTTTCCCCCACCCTGGATTGCCTTTATTCAGAAAAGCGCACAGTTTTCCCCAAGACTCATATGCGATTCTACCATTATTAGCATTTAATGGAACATAATGTGCACCTGTCACCTATCTGTAAACTTCTCCTTTGATGTAGACTCTCAGCATCCTAGGTGACCCCAGATTTGTACTCTTCCGTTACACGTTTTAGCTCTTTCATTCGAATTTACATCTGGACGTTCCTGCGTGTATGAATAGGCCTCAACGTACAGCCGTTCGTTTAGTGACGGTTCAAAGTTACAGTGGCACTAAAAAAAGGGACTTATGGTCGTTTTTCACACCTACGACCGTTGCAGCCTCCCCACGCTCATCTGATCAGCATTCAGACACTGGGCAACTGATTCATATTTATGACGGCCGCAGTTCCCCCAGATCATGTGAACAGTTTCATGTGAACTGTGGCAAGAAAGGTTGTAAAATGCCACTCCCTTCTAGCACTGATGATGTTACTTAGTTTGGGTAAGGAAACATCTTCAAGAAAACAGGCAAACTCAGAGAGCACCCAGGACCCCATAGTCAATCAGTCCTTCCTTCCTTCCTCCTCTCCTCTCCATAAATTCCATTCCCTTCTAGCACTGATGATGTTACCTAGTTGGGTCATGAAACGTCTGCAAGAAAACAGGCAAGCTCAAAGAGCACAAAGGACCCCATAGTCAATCAGTCCTTCCTTCCTTCCTTCCTTCCTTCCTTCCTTCCTTCCTTCCTTCCTTCCTTCCTTCCTCTCTTCCCCCTCTCTTCCAAACTACCTAGTTGGGTCATGAAACGTCTGCAATAAAACAAGGAAGCTCAGAGAGCACCAAGGACCCCACATATTAGTAAGCTTCATAGTTGAATCTAAGCAGTGTTGTAGGCATGTTGCAGCTACGTGCAGAGCTGTAGGGGTTGGGACAAGGATCCATGCTGCTGTTTGAGTTGGCCTTTTCTGTCCAGGCTGGTCAAAATTCTGATCATCTTAATTTTTTTTTTTTTAATAACAGCCATGGCAGCCATGTACTACAGTTACTACATGTTGCCTGATGGAACATACTGCCTCGCCCCACCGCCACCAGGGATTGACATGGCTACTTACTATAGCGCCCTGCCAGCTGGGGTGACGGTGTCAAGCACTACCGGCGTGGCCACGATGACAGCGCCTCCGCCTCCCGGCACGACACCCCCACCCTCTTCAGAAGCAAGTGAAGACACAAGCGGTGCATTGCCTGGCACAAGCACTTCAGCAAGGTATCCTGTTTTATGTTGGCCTGTGTAGTAGAGCAGGAATTTTGTTGAATGGATTGTGTAACTAACAACCTTCCTGTGTAACAGAACATTTTTTCCTAATGGTAGAGGGAACCCACTGTTGAAAGTAAACCCAAGCTAATGACAATAACTCGTTGGTTAGACTCAACAATTCATTGGTGCTCAGATAATATTGACTTGATAGCAGTAGGTATCAAGTCAGAGGGTTTTTCTATAAGCATCAGAAATCAGTTTTCCTTCCTCCCTTCCTTCCTTCCTTCCTTCCTTCCTTCCTTCCTTCCTTCCTTCCTTCCTTCCTTCCTTCCTTCCTTCCTTCCTTCCCAGCTTTTGCATTTATATAAACCTGGGTCCTGCGTGTTGTCATAGTGTCAGCAGCCTCACAGCAATTCCAAGTGGCTGGGCTGGTTTTTCAGAGCAGGCTTTGGCAAGGAGGCTTCCCAGTTACCAGGCAGTGGGCAGTTGCATATGTTCAAGTGATTAAATGTTAATAATTAAAAAGGCAGCTCAAATAAAAGGGTGTCTCATTACATTTTAAAATTGTCAAGAGTTTTAGACAGAGCGCAAAAGAGCCGGTATGTTTGTCTTGTCTAGTTTTGTTTCATGCAAAAGGCTTTTTGTCATTTTTTTTATGGCCTTGGTCAGCAATTAATCTTTTCACTAAAAATAATCTACTTTCCTCCCCTGCCAGCCCTGTGCAGGCTGATAATGTGCAAGAAGCTTATTTAATTTCTGTTTAATGAACCACCCACTTCCAGATGAGTCTTCCCAAGTTTACGTTCTGGAGAGGATATTGTTGGCCATATCAAAGCCTGATGATGCTCATTTTATTCTAGTGTCCCACATGAGGACATAGTGTCCCATCTTTTTTTTTTTTTTCATTTTTGAGAGCCAATTTGGTCTAGTGGTTAAGATGCTGGCCTAGAAACCAGGAGACGGTGAGTTCTAGTTCTGCCTTAGGCTGAAAGCCAGCTGGATAACTTGGGCCAGTGACCAGAAGATGGTGACCCATCTTAGGCATGAAAAACCAAGTGGGTGACTTTGGACCAATCACCAGGAGATTGGGAGTTCTAGTCCTGCCTTAGCCATGAAAGCCGGCTGGGTGACTTTGGACCAATCACCAGGAGATTGGGAGTTCTAGTCCTGCCTTAGCCATGAAAGCCGGCTGGGTGACTTTGGACCAATCACCAGGAGATTGGGAGTTCTAGTCCTGCCTTAGCCATGAAAGCCGGCTGGGCGACTCCAGGCCAGTCCCCCTCTCTCAGTCTAACCCACCTCGCATGGTTGTCGTTGTAAGGAAAATAGCAGGAAGGATTAAGTCTCATGTATGTTTGCTGCCTCGAGTAACTTATAAAGTAATAAAGGTGGGATAAAAATTGAATAAGATGGTTTCTATGGTTGATTGTACTGCTAGCATTTCTTTTTAATTGCACAACATAAATATTTGAAATGAATATCGCTTTGGAGTTTCTTGTAATGAAAATAATAGCGTGTGGGTGTGTATCTCTCCCATAAAAGAACCTGTTCCAAAAGAACAGCATGCAATTAAAGCAGGATCTTAGCTCTCTAGAATACGTAGAGAATTTTAATAAGTACCTATTGTCTGACAGAAGCTCTGCATACCAAATTATTCCAAAGCCACTTCTTGTCTCTCCTTGGTGACCATCCTGCTTCAAACAATGGCAGGTTCTCCAGAATTGCCAGGATGAATCATTCAAGTTCATCCTCATCTTAGTCGAACGTCTTAAAATTTTTAAAACCCTGCCTGGATCTTTGATCTGCATTTCCCTCCCCCCCCCTTTTTTTTTCCTGATGCTGTTGAAATACCTGGCTTTTCCCTGTTTAGCCCTCAGTCATGTGATGTCTTAAAAAAATGGAGCTGCTTCTCCCCTCCTCCCCCCCCCTTCAATAGGTTGTGTTCTCTGCCTGTGTAAATCTTACAACTCTTGACATTTCCCAGCTCAATTCCACCAGTGGTTGCCGTCATCCCTCCACCTCCAGATATCCAGCCTGTAATTGACAAGCTCGCCGAGTACGTTGCAAGAAATGGGATTAAATTTGAGACCAGCGTTCGTGCCAAGAATGATCCGAGGTGAGTACGAGAGACTTCGCTCTTAATTTCATTTTACAATAACCCTGCAAGCAAGTAGCTTTGTTCCGCTTGCTTATTGTCAGTCTTGTCAGAAAAAGAAAAAAAAAACCCTTAGTAATTTATTGAAGTTCCTCACCTTAAAATTCAAGAAACTTCTGGAAGTTAACGATAAAGCGTTTTATTGCCCAAGAATCTTGAAGCTTGGCTTCCAGACATATATGGCCCTTGGGGTATAATTTATTATTCTCAGAATATCAAATCGCATCTTGAGATGGGGAAATAATAAATTAAAGCCACGACTTACAGTTGAGGGACACGTGTATTTTCCCCACGCTGACTTCTGTGTCACCTTTTTAAATTATCCATCTCCCTCACAGAGAGGGACTACAGATAGCCCTCCATTTACTAATATGAGCCCAACATTTCTGATGTTAAGTGAGACATTTGTTAAGTGGATTTTGCCTCATTTTGCGATGTTTCTCGCCACAGCTATTAAGTGAACCACTGCAGTGGTTAAATTAGTAATACGGCTGTTAAGTCAATCGGGCTTCCCCGATTGCTTGTCAGCAGGTCACAGAAGTGTAAAAAGTCATTTTTTTCAGTGTCGTAATTTTGAGCGGTCACTAAATGAACTGTTGTAAGTCGAGGACTGCCTGTGTCATAAGTAGTTCTCAACTTTCAATTTACAATGATTCAAAGTTATAACGGCCTTGGGGAAAAAAGTGCCTTATGACCAGTATCTGCACTTACAACAGTCACATTTGCCAGCGCATCCTGGGATTGTAATTTGCAAGTTAAAACGCCCATTGGCATAGTTGGATTCACTTAACTGGTAGTGGTTCACTTAACCACCTCCCTAAAAATTGTCCAGCACAACTTACAACCATAAGAACCAACAGTCCGGTCCAATCTGTGGTCATAAGTTGATATTAAGGTAATGATTTAACAGCTAACCAGCTTGTGTAATGTAAGATTTAATGATGGGAATGACTCAGCAGGGTCTGAGTCTCTTTAAGAGCCTTCGTATAAAAGAGAAGATTCCGCTGATGTGTTCTTTCTCTTCCGTTTCCTGCTGTAACTGTGACATGTTAGATCCCGCTGTATTAGCATGTGTATATATATTATCCCTGGAATATGACATTGTAGATAGTGTAAGATAAACCACCATTTCATATAGACCACTGTTTACTGTGTTTACTCCTGGGTTATCTCGCACACTCTGATAGTTGACAACTATGTACATTTTTGTCTCTCTCTTAACAGATTTGAATTTCTGCAGCCTTGGCATCAATACAATGCCTACTACGAATTTAAGAAACAGTTCTTCCTTCAGAAAGAGTCTAGCGACAGCTCAAAGGTAGGTTTATGAAAGTATAACATAACAGTGATACATGCTGGCTTGTTGGCTTGTTTTATCCCCGGAGTGTCAACTGGGGCAGTTCAGAGAGGAACCAGTTTCCCATTAGTGGATTTGTTTTTAAAAATGTGTTGTCTGCCCTCTTTGTTACTGTGGGAGGGGGTGATGAGTGGGATTTATGGAGAGGAGGAAAAGAAGGAGGAGGACTGTGGGGTCCTTGGTGCTCTCTGAGCTTGGTGGTTTTCTTGCAGACCTTTCATGACCCAACTAGGGAACATCATCAGTGCTAGAAGAGAACAGAGTTTGCTCTCTGTTGATACACAAAAGTGGCTTGCCCTGTTACTGTTGATGGAAGTGTTTTCTTCTTGGTAGTTCCTTGAGTGAGCTGGGTTTACAACTTAGCTGTTGATTTGCCTTTAATCTTAGTGATAACCAAGGTAACCAAGATAGGTAATGAAACATCTGCAAGGAGACAACCAAGCTCAAAGAACGCCAAGGACCTCACAGATATTCTCTCTGTGTGTATGCATGCCCCTTACCTTAAAATGGCTGGAAGCCAATTCTGCATGTGTGTGTGTACTGTTTACAGGCCTTTTAAAATATGAGCCTATGTTACAATATCTGGGTGAAAATGATCAATGTAATCAGATGGGATCCGCCAATTTTAGAAATGAGCATCTTATAGGCAGTTATTGAATTTGGTTAATTTTAATGTGTGGTTTTGCCTTGAACTGAGGTTAGTAATTGGTACCACTAAATTGGCACCGTTGTCTTCTGTATTCATGGGTAGTATGGACATCTCTGTCTCATCTTCCTTGGGTGTGGGGGGGGGGAGTTAAATTCAGACTCACCTTCCATTTGGGCCAGTGCAGTAGATTTTCCTGGTTTAGGTAATATTACCACATGACAGTGAAAGGTAGAATATCATTCGCAGTATGTATTTGTGTTTTTCCTTTATTTCAGAAGCTTTCTGACACAAGCCCCCCCCCCCCAATATGGCTAGGTCACTTGCAGGGCCCCATCGCTTTGTGCTCTACCTTTTATGTTTTTCTCTGAATTGTTTACTGTGTGCATTTTTATATTTGATGAAACAGATTGTAAACACACCGTGTGGTTGCCAGGAAACTCTTCTGTTTCGCTCCTTTTTGCCATAATGGGGACAAGAGTGCTTTGGAAATTAATAGCCGGGACACTAATGAAGCAGAGTGCTCTTCCAATTTTAAACAGATTTTTGCCATTCGGTTTAATGGGCCGTCAAGCAATGCTGTCTGTTTTCCGGGGGCGGGGGAGAGGAACATGGCATGTGAACTGTTTATTTTTTTCAAAAGGAATAGAATAGAAAATAGAATGGAATAGAGTAGAATAGAGTAGAATATGGAGTAGAGCAGAGTAGAATAGAGTAGAATATGGAATGGAATGGAATGGAGTAGAATAGAGGAGAGTAGAATAGAATAGAATAGAATAGAATAGAATAGAATAGAATAGAATAGAATAGAATAGAATAGAATAGAATAGAATAGAATAGAATAGAATAGGAGTAGAAGAGTAAGAATAGAATAGAATAAAATAGAATAGGGGTAGAAGAATAAGATAGATTAGAATAGAATAGAATAGAATAGAATAGAATAGAATAGAATAGAATAGAATAGAATAGAATAGAATATGGAGTAGAGTAGAGCAGAGTAGAGTAGAATATGGAATGGAATGGAATGGAGTAGAATAGAGTAGAGTAGAAATAGAATAGAACAGAACAGAATAGAACAGAATAGGAGTAGAAGAATAAGAATAGAATAAAATAGAATAGGGGTAGAAGAATTAGAATAGAATACGGGATGGAATATAATAGGATATGGATATGGAGTAGAGTAGAGTAGAGTAGAATATGGAATGGAATGGAGTAGAATAGAATAGAATAGAATAGAATAGAATAGAATAGAATAGAATAGAATAGAATATGGGATGGATGGGATGTAATAGAATAGAATAAGAATAGGAGCTGGAAGGGACCTTGGAGTCTTCTAGTCCAGCCCCCGCACTTAAGCAGGAGACCTTATGCCATTTCAGACAAGTGACTGTCCCGTCTCTTCTTAAAAACTTCCAGTGTTGGAGCATTCACCGCTTCTGGAGGCAGGTTGTTCCACTGGTTAATTGTCCTCACTGTCAGGAAGTTTCTCCTTAGTTCCAGGTTGCTTCTCTCTTTGAGGACAGAGCAAATCCTGCTAGGTCACACACAAATATTACATTTTCATCAAACATTGTGTAATGTTTACAGGAAGACCGTGATGCTTTTTTAACCCCTCTGTTCCTACCCCCCCCAAAAAAAATACTCAGTTGGTGTGTAACGTTTAATAAGCAAAATTCCATTTCAGTTAACAGAGCTGATAAATGTTGATAATTCGCTTCCGGTTTCATAAGCACACTATCTTAAGCCAAAAAACAGTTTGGTGGCTCTCAGCGGAGCAGGTTACACTTGCTGTGGTTTGTAAACTGCACAGGTAATCCTCCAACCTCACCGTTCGTTTAACAATAGTTTGAAATTATGTCGACCCGTCCCTCAAAGTTATAGCCATCGCACCATCCCCCCCCCCAGTCGTATGATCGCCCTTCGGGCACTCGGCTGTCGGCTCACATTTATGACAGTTGCAATATCTTAAGGTTCACATGCTCACAGCCACTTTCGACCAACAAAAGCCAAAAATTGGGGATGCCAGATTTGTTTAATGACCCAGTGATTTGCTGAATGACCATTGGTTCACTTCACGACCGTGGTAAAAATGAGCCTAAAAATCAAGTCCGGTCATGTGATGGCTCACGATTGCTGTAACTTACGACGGAAATTTCAGTCCCAGTTGCTGTCTGTAAGTCAAGCCTGTAGTTTAGAAATCATGGTGATCTAATCTGGTTTAGTTTAAAGACGGCCAAATGATAACTTATTCAGCCAACGACACTTAAGCCATGCTTGAAGGCAATGCATGAAATTAGCTAAAAACTGATACGGTAAGCAAATATATACAGTACTGTTAAGTCCACTCAAGGTAGCTTCCAATTCGATCATTAATTTTTTTCCTTGCAATTACTTTTCTTCCTCATTAAGCAAAATGTAGCCAGATCTTTCGTGAATAAATTCACCCCCTTCCTCTTTTGAAGACGGTGCTCTTAGGACTGAAATGTACTAGCTAATGTATTTATTTCTTCCTTTTTGAGCATAGGGAGATAGAAATTCTTGCCACGAGCACTCTTAAACTTTATTGGTGCTATTAGAGGCAGCAGATAAGCAGAGTTAGACCTGAAGATTGTTCCTTGAAGGCTTCGTTCTCCCCATCCCCGCTCCAAAACCCTCAGTATATCTCGGGTCATTTTTTCATTTAAAATGGCTTTGTACAGTCATAATGTGAGCTCTTAGCACAGGGCTTGTTAATGAATCTCTGGATCGCTGTAACGATCGTGAAATAGTAGCGTCACGTACATTTGAATGAGAACCAAAATGTAAAATGATTGGCCTTGGCGTTCATACTCTGGCCCAGGGTTTCCAGCCGAGGCCGTTTCCAGCTTAGAGTAGAATTCAGTTTTCATCCAGATCCGTTGCTGAGAATTAGAAGAACTGGTTCACCCTTTTGGAAGTTAATGCCAGTGGAGAAACTGCTCCATCTTTTTCTTCTGCTGGTGCAATGGATTGTACACCTGTAGGAGCAGAGGGGGGGAGTTCGGCAACACCGAGCTATCCCGAAAGAGGCCCAAGTAAAAATGTCAACTGTCTCGACTAGCAAACTCAAGATCAAGGAATCTTCAGGCGTTGAAATGCCGTAAAAGATAAACTTTGTTGAGTACACATCTCAGAACTGAAGAAGCAGAAAGCAGCTCTGGTTTCCCCGTGTGAAAATCTGGATAGTTAAAAATAGCCTTCCATAACCCCCACCCACCGAGTGTCCACGTTGCCCAATCATCCTTCTTTGGTTTGTTATGAGAAGGGGTCCACTTCTCCGTCAGACACCTGCTTTTGTGACCTTGAATCTCATGGTCCATGGGTGGCTTTTTAGAATCCCGTCACCTTCCCTCTTTCTACCCACCCACCCCTGTTTCTATGGCAAGTTGAGTAGCGATAGAAGTTAGCAGGCATCTTAACCAAGTCAGTCTTGATATAAGATACTGCATGGTCCCGAAGGGAGATTAAGGAAAAGATTCAGGTAGCGACATTCTAGAACAGGGGTGGGCAATTAATTATCCCAAGGGAGTCACATGAGGAACTGGGACTGTTTTGGAGGACTGAACCAACAGGGTTATCAAGGTGCGAAGGCATGCATGCATGCACATAGGTAAATTGGGGGGAGAAAAATAGCAGTCGCCTTCCAAATAAAAAAAGGACCACAGGAGCTAGCCAGGGACAACCACGTGGCCGAGGGAGCATAAAATGCCCAGGTCTTTTTTTGCTTCTGCAGCCAATCTGATAGTGCTTTGCAAACCTCATCTCTAAGACAACCACAAAGATTTGGATGTCTTAGTGCTGATGGCTGAATTAATTGATTTTAGGCAGTTTTTGGTGTTCTCATTGTCTCCTGAAACCGTTAAAAAAACGGTCTGGAAGTCGAGGAAGTCTAGTTTGGATGGGGATTGCTTCTGATAAAATACTTGCTTAAGTTGGTTTGATTGAACATTTGATGTGCCTTCCACAATTCTCCCTTCCATCACGGCGTTGATTAAAGACAGAAATGACATTTCTTTATCTTTTCACGCCGAGATGTAATAATATCTCCTCATACGGCTGCCAATTTGCTGGTATCAGCAATTGGGATGGTAACCCTGAGAACAGACTTGTCATTATGATGTACAGACAGCTTCGATATATATATTTGTTCAGGTAATGAATGCCATGGGGGCTTTTAATTAAAATCCATGTACAATAACCTTTTAAGATCCTTTCTTTTTTTCACTCGCACGAGAAGAAATCCACTTTTCTCTGAGAACAGAACCCCTCTGGTGAAATTGTAAAAGGTCTCTCGCCTAGAGACCCATGTACAGGTAGTCCTCAATTTACGGCCACAATTGAACCCCCCCAAATTTCTGTTGCTAAGTGAGACATTTGTTAAGTGAGTTTGGGCCCATTTTACGACCTTTCACTGCAGCTGTTAAAATGAGTAACACGGCTGTTAAGTGAGTTTGGCTTCTCCATTGGCTTTGCTTGTCAGGGCTGGCTGGGAAGGTCATAAATGGCACTCTTCTCACACTGGGATAAGATAGAATATAGAATAGAATAGAATAGAATAGAATAGAATAGAATAGAATAGAATAGAATAGAATAGAATAGAATAATAAGGATAGGATAGGATAGGATAGGACAGGATGGATAGGATAGGATAGGGAATGGAATAGAATAGAATATAGAATAGAATATAGAATAGAATAGAATATAGAATAGAATAGAATATAGAATAGAATGGAATGGAATAGAATATAGAATAGGAACAGAATAGGAGCAGAATAGGAATAGAATATTGAATAGAATATAGAATAGAATAGAATATTGAATAGAATATAGAATAGAATATCAAATAGAATAGAATACCAAATAGAATAGAATAGAATAAGGAATAGATTAAGGAATGGAATGGAATGGAATGGAATGGAATGGAATAGAATAGAATAGAATAGAATAGAATAGAATAGAATAGAATAGAATAGAATAGACCTTGGAGGTCTTCTAGCCCAGCCCCCTGCTCAAGCAGGAGAACCTATACTGTCTCAGACAGGTGAATGTTTAGTCTCTTCTTTAAAACCCCCAGTGATGGAGCACCCAGGATTTCTGGTGGCAGGCTGTTCCACTGGTTGATTGTCCTCTCTGTCAGGAAGTTTCTCCGTAATTCCAGGTTGCTTCTCTCCTTGATCAGCTGCCAACCATCATAAATTTGGGCTGACAATCGCCCAAATTTTGATGACATGACCGTGAGCATGGTGCCATGGTCCTAAGTGCGTGGACCGATCCTAGCTCACTTCTGGGGGGGCGCTTTCATAATTTCAGTCAATAAATAAATGGCCCTAACTCACTCTGTGCCTGTCTGTGCTTGCCGTCAAATGCTCCGTTCCGCTCTTGTGAAATTATTCCGACTCGCTAAGCGGTCAGTATGGTGACCTGTTTGGAAGACCTCCTGGCTCAAAAGCTGGGTGACCCATGCTGTTTTTAAGCCGTTGTGTTCATCAGTTTGAAACGTCCTTTAAGAACCCAGCGTGGGTTTATGCGCTGCCCAGTGGAAAGCACGTTGTCACTTGGGGGGGGGGGTGTTCTTCGCATTTATTCTGCTACGGCTTCCAGTTTTCAAGCGTGCTACATAGTGGATTTTTTTTCTCCCCCCCCCTTTAAAAAGCAGGTCGCCTCTTTATCCGAGGACGTCGCTACCGATGCTGCGTCCAGCGCGGCGCCTGGAGACACCCAGTTTCCCGGTGAGCAGATTGCTGAAGATGTCGATTCAGCGGCTCAAGGAAGCAACGCGAAGGACTCGGCCGCCATCAAAATTGTCAACGATGGCAAGCTTATAAAAGGTAAGTCTCGGTCCAGCTCAAGCCCTGTTCTTTTGAGAGGATCTTTTGGCACCCAGAAATGTTCCGTCTGGCTACTGAATGACGATTTTTAAGATGAGAGACGGGCTATGAAATGAAAGGGAAGCATCGCTAGTTTAAATGGATGTGGATGAATTGGAGAGGGCTAAAATAAGCCCCGGAAAGAATACAGAATGACAGACTTGGAAGAGGGACCTGGGAGATCTTCTAGTCCAACCCCCTGGTCAAGCAGGAGAACCTATATGACTCTAGACAAATGGTTGTCCAATTTCTTAAAAAAACTCAGGAAGTTTTATCTATCTATCCATCCATCTATGCCTATCTATCTATCTATCTATCTATCTATCTATCTATCTATCTATCTATCTCTGTGTTTCTGTCTGTTTATCTATATCTGTCTTGTCTATCTATGTCTATCTGTCTGTCTATCTATCTATCCATCTATCCATCTATGACTATGCCTATCCATCTATCCATCTATCTATCTATCTATCTATCTATCTATCTATCTATCTCTGTGTTTCTGTCTGTTTATCTATATCTGTCTTGTCTATCTCTGTCTGTCTGTCTATCTATCTATCTATCTATCTATCTATCTATCTATCTATCTATCCATCTATGACTATGCCTATCCATCTATCCATCCATCCATCCATCCATCCATCCATCTATCTATCTATCTATGTCTGTGTATCTATGTCTATCTGTATCTATATCTCTCTGTGTCTGTCTTGTCTATGTCTATCTATCTGTCTATATCTCTATCTATCTATCTATCTATCTATCTATCTATCTATCTCTGTCTATCTGTCTATCTGTGTCTGTATCTCTGTCTATGTCTGTCTATATCTCTCTGTCTACGTCTATCTATCTATATCTATGTCTGTCTATATCTCTGTCTGTCTATCTACCTACCTACCTACCTACCTACCTACCTACCTACCTACCTACCAATCTACCAATCTTATCTATGTACCTGCCTACCTATCTTATCTAATAGAATAGGGCTGAATCAAACCTCATGGAATCAAGCGTCCAATGTTGGAGCACCCTCAACCTATGGAGGCAAGCCGTTCTACTGACTAATTGTTCTCACTGTCAAGAAACCTCTCCTTAGTTCTAGTTAGATCTCTCTTTGAGTAGTTCCCATTACTTCTTGTCCTGCCCACAGGGGCTTTGGAGAATAGATTGATGATGTTGAAATGAATGTCAGGAGGGGGGGTCCCACTTGTACTTTTCACAGACTGGCAGCCTGATCAGGTCCAAATGGTGTCCATACCATCCAAACAACAGGTGCTAATTATCCAGGGTAAAAAAAGCCAAGTTAACTCCCTGCAAGTTGAAGAACACCTCTCACGAGTAATTGCAAATTGTACAGGGCCTTTCCTACTTAGTGAGTCTAAGCCTCCGGGCAGATATATCCACATGGTTTTAGTCCATCCCCTTTAATAGAAAGTCAATTTACTAAAGATTTTTTTTTTCCCCTTGAAAAGCAACTGTGCGGCGGTGTGCTGAGTCTGTCGGGGGGAAGTTTAAAAAAAGCTGTAATATTGGTCCTTGTTTCCAGAAAAAGAACTTGCTTGGAAACACACTTTCTTTTCTTTTCTTTTTTTAATATTAATCCTCTCCCACTCTCATTCCTTTAAGAGAGATCTAAAAGAAATTAGACAGCAGGATGTACGGTCACAATATTTTCTGGCGTATTTTTATCCCGGGGTGACAGCTAATTAGAGGGAACCACAACACACAAACAGTCATTAGAAGGCTGTGCCAAGCCTCAGCACAACAGCAAAGATGGTTTAAGCCACCGGTTGCGGCCCAATTCTGATGTGCAAAACGGTCCTCTTTTCAGATACCTGGCCCGCCAATTTCGCATCTTTTTAATCCCCAGCGTGAAGCATTTTCCATTTCCATTGAGCAGTTCTGCTTTTCTCCTCCATTATGTCCCCCCCCCCCCCAAGGCTACTGGCAAGCACAAGTCCCTTTAAACTTGCTGGGGGAAAAACATACTGCTTTCATCCCAATAATGATGCAGCCCGGCGTGACACACTCAGAAGGGAATGCCATAATATAATTCTAGTTTTGCAGGGGGACCAACCTTCTTCTGCTCAAAGGACCGCGTTTTGGGGTGGGTGAGGGCACTTGGTTGCATATGGGTCAACGCTGCTAATATTGAATATTCTTGCTTTGACAAAATATGCAGAACAGTCTGGTATTTTTAGAGTTAATTCAGATGACAGAGGCAAGGGAGGGGAAATAACAAAAGCCCAGGAAAAGGAACAGGAAGTGAATCTCTGCCCTCTGGGCTAATTGGAAGATGTGACTTGTGACTGCAAGATAAGGCAGGGGTTTAGCAAGAAAAGTTAGATGCCAGCAAGAGGAATTCACACTCTGGCATAAACCTTCATGATGTGCCGTCAATTTGTAACACTGGTAATAAAGGCTTTAGGATAAACATGCCTGGGAGTTCTTTGAAGTGTTTCATTAGTCGGAACCATGACAATATGGTTAAGAGGCCGAGGCAAAAATGGATGGGAGTAACCATTTGCTTTCTGATACTTGCTTCCTGGGTTTATTTTTTCCTCCTCTGTGTCAGAGGTCCCCAACCTTTTGGGCACCAGGGACCGGTAACATGGAGAGAGGTCTTTCTGCGGACCAGAGGGGGTGTGTAGTTTTGTGTGCTGCCTGCATCCCGCAGATGAGTCTTTGCTTGTTTGTGCGGACCGGTTGCTGGCATGTCGCAGCCCAGTCCTGGTCCACAGACCGGGGATTGGGGACCCCTGCTCTATGTCCTACCCTGGTCTGAACAGGCTTCTTTAAAAGGAGAATTAAAATTCAGCCAAGGGCAGCATGAATGAAGTTTGAGGACTACATCCTCCTCTATTCTGTTAGATTGTTCCTCCTACTTCTCCTCCCACCCACCCAAAACAGCTCTGCAACGGGCAGTAAAAAGATATTTATTTATTTGTATCCTGCCTTTATTATTTTTACAAATAACTCAGAGATGGCAAAGATCTCCGACGTTCTTCCTCCACAACAGCAGCCCTTTGAGTGGCTCAAAGTCGCCGAGTCAGTTTTTATGGCTAAGGTGGGACTAGAACTCACCATCTCCTTGACGATTGACCCAAAATTACCCAGCCAGCTGCCATGGCTAAGATGAAACTAGAATCCACAGTCATCTGGTCCTTGACTTAAAGTCACCTAGCTAGCTTTCATGCCTAAGGTGGGACTAGAACTCACCATCTCCTGGTGATTGACCCAAAATTACTCATCTAGCTGGCATCCCTAAGGTGGGACTAGAATTCACAGTCCTCTGGTGATTGACCTAAAGTCACCCAGCTAGCCTTTATGCCTAAGGCAGGACTAGAACTCACTGTCTCCTGGGGATTGGCTCAAAGTCACCCAGCTGGCTTTCATGCCTGGAGGTGAAACTAGAACTCACTGTCTCCTGGGGATTGGCTCAAAGTCACCCAGCTGGCTTTCATGCCTAAGATGGAACTAGAATTCACAGTCACCCGGTGATTGACTTAAAATCACCCAGCTAGCTTTCATGCCTAAGGTGGGACTAGAACTCACTGTCACCAGGTTTTCAGCCTGGTGCCTTGACCACCAGACCCAATGGGTTTCAAGTTGCAATTACTGGTTTACAAATAGTTCTTTCTTTTCCCACAGTTTCCTTTGCCCCCATCAGCTTTGCGATTCGGGCCAAAGAAAACGACATGCTTCCCTTGGAGAAGAACCGGGTGAAACTTGACGACGATAGTGATGAGGAGGAAGAGGAAGGCAAAGAGGGCCAGGAGAACGCCAGCGGCACCTCCAACAGTGCCAGCCTCCTTGCCCCCTCCAGCAGCGCTCCAGAAGAGAAGAAGCCTCAGCTGACCCAGGAAGAACTGGAAGCAAAGCAAGGTAAGAAGTCTATGGTCTGGATCAACTGGGGTTTACACTTCACCTTGTTTGAAAGCTACTTCTGTGTAGGGCGGGGCTGAAACCTTGTTCAGCAGGGGGTGATGGAAAGAGAGCAGAAGGCAGACGAAATACGAGTCTCTGTAATTATAATAATCAGAATAGAGCTGGAAGGGACCTTAGAGGTCTTCTAGTCCAGCCCCCTGTTCAAGCAGGAGAACCTCTACCATTCTAGACAATTGGCTGTCCAGTCTCTTCTTGAAAACCTCCAGTGATGGGGGAGGAAGGGAAGGGAAGGGAAGGGAAGGAAAGGAAGGAAGGAAGGAAGGAAGGAAGGAAGGAAGGAAGGAAGGAAGGAAGGAAGGAAGGAAGGAAGGAAGGAAGGAAGGAAGGAATAGCAGAATAACAGTTGGAAGGGACCTTGGAGGTCTTCTAGTCCAACTCCCTGCTTCAGCAGGAGATTCTATATCATTTCAGACAAGTGATTGTCCAGTCTCTTCTTAAAAACCTCCAGTGATGGAGCATCCACAACCTCTGGTGGCAAGCGGTTCCACTGGTTTATTGTCCTCACTGTTAGGAAGTTTCTCCTTAATTTCTAGTTGCTTCTCTCCTTGATTAATTTCCATCCATTGTTTCTTGTCCTGCCTTCTGGTGATTTGGAATATAAAGTGCAACTGTTATAAATAAGAACTGGTTGCCAAGCATCCAAATTTTGATCATGTGGCCACAGGGATGCAGCAACGGTCGTAAGTGTGAAAACCGCTCATGAGTCACTTTTTTTCAGTCCCAGTGTAACTTTGAATATTCACTAAACAAGCTGTCGTAACTCACGGACTACCTGCAACACACTGCCGACGTAAACGCATTGCCGATATGAACATTGATTCCCTTCATGCAGATGCTGGATTTTCTAGATGGGGTTTAGGATTAAAACTCGGGAGTTAAAATTACAAGGAAGTAGATTCAGGACTGATATAACTAATCCAGGAGAAGAAACAACCTAGAACTAAGGAGAAACTTCCTGGAAGTTAGAACAATTAATCAGTGGAATAACCTGCCTCCAGAAGTTGTGAATGCTCGGGCCACGGCATGCCAGCAACCAGTCCGCACAAACAAGCAAAGCCCCATCCGTGGGACGCAGGCAACATAAAAAACCACACGCTCTCCGGTCCGCAGAAAAACCTCTCTCCATGGAACCGGTCCCTGGTGCCCCAAAGGTTGTGGACCTCTGGTGTAAGTTTTCCTGCTTTAGACTAAAAGACCTCAAAGATCTCTTCCAGCTCCGTTACTCTGTTTTAACTTTATAACTGCAAAAGCTATTAGCCAGTGGAGCAGGCGATGGCATGAAGTAGTGAGTTTTGTTTCAATAAACATTTTGGAAGTACACATCCTGCGTCGCACAACACAGACCCAGAATCGTTAAAAGCACTAGCTCTTTAATGAAGCATTAAATCTCTGAGGAGGAAGAGGCCATATCTACAGATTTAACCGAGATCAAGGCAATCAAGAGTGAAATGCTAACACATAGCACACCAGAACGCTCTTCTCGGGTGACCAAATGAAGGCTGAAGGCAAAATCCTTCATTCCTTGCTGTCAGAGATTCGTGGAGTTGAAAGGGACCTGAGAGAAAACGTTGCCAAGCAGGTATTTTTATGAAAGCAAACAAGAATCTCACATCCCTAGTCAAAAGAGACCCGTGTCAATGCTGCAAATATTGTATATTCTTGCTTTGACAATATGCAAAACTGTCTGGTGTTTACTGGGTTAATACATAGCTTAGAGTGGGGGGGGGGGTAAAAAGCCCAGGAAAGAAAGAGGAAGTAAACTTTTGACCTTCACACTAATTGGATAATGTGACTTGGGACTGCAAGACAAGGGAGGGGTTTAGCAAGAAAAGTTTGATGCCAGCGAGAGGAAGTCAGATTCTGGCATCAAAACGTCCATGGTGGTGACCGGCAATTTGTAGCTCTGTAATAAAGACTTTAGGGAACATGCCTGAAAGTTCTTTGAAGTGCTTCATTAGTCGGAACCCATGACAACCCGATCATACAATGTCAGGCATAAATAACCAAGAGCACTTGTTGAGTTCGAAGCTCAGAAAAGTTTCATTATATTGCCGGTTTCTCAGAAGCGGCAATTTTCCAGCTGCCTGGACATCTGGACCCCAAATTTCCCAGCAGCGGCTAGGCCAGCCAGGAATTTGGGGAGCCGAAGCTCACACCCATCTGGAAGTTGCGGGAATCCAGCTGTTAAAACATCTCTTCCCTTCCTTTGGGCTCTTGTCTTGCCTGTGCAGACATGAAAGAGAGGAAGAACAGGGCGTTGTCGACTTAAAACAGATCATTTAGTGACTTGCGACCGTTTTTCACACTTAATGGCCATTGCAGCGGGCCCCATGGTCACGTGACCCAAATTTGGGTGCTTGGCAACTGGTTCCTATTTGTGACAGTTGCAGTGTCTCCGGATCCTGCAAATCCCTTTTGAAACTTTCTGACAAGCAAAGTCAATGACGAAGTCAGATTCCACCGTCTTCTTAATTTTAACAACTGCAGTGGCAAGGCAGGTCGTAAAACGGGGCAAACTGACGTAGGCAAATGTCTCACCTAGCAGCAGAAATTAAGGGTTGTACGTCATAAGATTACCTGTACGAATTGTTCGCCGTAAATCAGCAATGCTGGCTCGTTTTCTACAAAGGGAGAGGCATCGCAGACGAAATATATTTGCTAGTAAATAACCGAGCCATTCGTGGTCCTTGAATTTGCCATATTAGACACGAAATAAATGAGGCAGAGGAAGAAAGAAGATGTTATTCTCCTTTCCATTTTTCCTTTCCCTGAAAGAACGGTGCCGGGCGATAATTAAATCTGCATTTATGTGTGTCTAATTCAATAAAACGCAGCAGCGTAATTTGATAGAGAAGTCTCACGAAGCGACCACAGTGATAGGGTTGACTTTGAGCTGCTGTTAAAAAACTCCTCCACAAAGTGCAAACATATGATTATTAATAAAAAAAGTGAAGCCATTTGCAAATAAAATTACCCAGATGATTACTGCTCAGTATTTTATTCCATGTCTGCAGGTAAAAAAGGGAGACATGGCAGACTGAATTTCAGGGGAAATAATATCTCTGTCTTTCGTATTCGGAAAATAGGCAATATTTTAAAATACTGTTTACAGATCTTGATAAAGTCCCTTTTTTAATATCCTTCCACAGATGTACATCAGCACTAAAGCAAATCCATTTCGTTTGTAAAATATCAGCGAAATGCGAGGCTTGCTGGGAAATCAGACACAACAGAGATCACTATTTTTTTTTAAAACGGTTCTGTTTAAACCCAGATCATTACTCCAGGAAGTGAGAATGGATGCCCTAAATTATACAGAATATTCTTATTAATAAATGCTGCACATACCAAGGCCACTCAGAGTTGCCTCCAACCACAGGATAGGCAGTATATAAATTTAAGAATAACAATAAGTGACTTTCAGAGAGGTTCAGATCCACCATGCAAGTTGTTGTTGTTAGTTGCGAAGTCGTGTCCGACCCATTGCGACCCCATGGACAACGTTCCTCCAGGCCTTCCCATCCTCTAGCATCTTCTGGAGTCCATTGAAGCTCACGCCTACTGCTTCAGGGACTCCATCTGGCCATCTTATTCACTGTCGTCCCCTTCTTCTCTTGCCCTCCATCTTTCCTATTAGAGATAAGATAACCTTTATTGGTTATCTTTGAGAAAATGCAAGCCGAGGGACATAGAATCGTAGGATTGGAAGGGACCTTTGTTGTTGTTAGTTGCAAAGTCGTGTCCGACCCATCGCGACCCCATGGACAACTTTCCTCCAGGCCTTCCTGTCCTCTACCATCTTCTGGAGTCCATTTAAGCTCACGCCTCCTGCTTCAGGGACTCCATCCAGCTACCTCCTTCTCTGTCGTCCCCTTCTTCTCTTGCCCTCCATCTTCCCCAGTATCAGGCTCTTCTCCAGTGAGTCCTTCCTTCTCATTAGGTGGCCAAAGTACTTGAGTTTCAACTTTCTTCAGGCACTCTGTCTACCATGCAAGTAATCCCACTTTATGAGAAATCACCTGACTATGAAGGTTAAATCAATCTATAGCAGTGATGGCGAACCTTTTAGAGACCGAGTGCCCAAACTGCAACCCAAAACCCATTTATGCAGCGTCTGGTGCTGGGTGGGTGTGGCCCATTGGCTGGGTGTGGCCAATTGGGTGGACGTGGCTGCTGTGGTAATGGCAGACTGGGTAGGACTAAAAAGTTCAGTCAATCAATTCCAACTTTGCAAGATCTTTTTTTCCCACAAGAAGCTGAAATTGATTGATTGATTGAACCTTTTTATTTTTTGCACACTGCGGCAGAGGCCTAAAGCGGAAAGGTTTTATAAAACCCAGCTGAAGGCCTAGGACTGGGGCGATGGCGCGAGTGCCCACAGAGAGGACTCTGAGTGCCGCCTCTGGCACCCGATCCACAGGTTCACCACCACTGATCTATAGCAGTACCACTTAGACCTATATACCACTTCACAGTGCTTTGCAGCCCTCTCCTCAGCACATTGCCCCCCAACAATCCGGGTCCACCTTTTACTGACCTCGGAAGGATGGAAGGCTGAGTCAACCCTGAGCTGGTCAGGATCGAACTGCTGGCAGTCGGCAGAGTTAGCCTGCAATACTGCGCCACCGCGGCTCTGGAACTGTCTACTAGAGCCAAAATATTTTATGCGAGCAAGCATATGGAAACGGTTAAACAATTGCACTGACAAACTGTACAGAAGCCTTAATTTATTTAAGCCACAGCTCTTTTACATGTGTGGGTGTATTCAGAGGGGTTTATTTTATCAGGGCAGGGCAGTGATTATGAATTGCAGCCACCCTTTTAATTAATTGTGACTTATAACTCCAGCCAAGTCATGATTCAGAGGCAGGCCATGTCAAGGGGCAGGCATCTGAAAGGTTAAGTCTCCTCTTGAAAGCATGGAAACAAAAGGTGAAGAGATGCATGTTTTTTCTCTCCCCCCCCCCCCCCCAGAGCTGTCTTTGGTCCTTAGCAGTTTTTTTCCTGCCTGTTTTTCTCCATTTTGCTCAAAAACCTGCAGCACCAACAGTGTCGCATTGAACTTATCAGGACCATGCATTCACTCCTCCACAAGGCACTCTGAGTGATTTAAGCCTCGTTCACTGTCTATCTGCACTTAAAACTTGGGAGAGCACCACTGCCTGATAATAATCAATGGGTGTTTTTTTTTATCAGCAAACCAGCTAGGAGACGGATGACGTGGTTTAAATGCACCTCCTCCAAGTTTGCAATTGTCACACGCCCAAACACACACGGGCTATTTTAATTAGCACAGCGAGCGACAATGAAAGCTGTTGAGCGTACACAACTAACTGTACTTGCATGCTTAACCTCCCTTCTGTCTCCCTCACTCGCTTCTAGCACTGCATTGGAAAAAGTCTGCGTAAGCAGAAAACATTTCCATGGTAATTGTACCCTACGTGGAAGGAGGCAGGGAGCTGCACCAACTAAGAAATAATTAAAATAAGACATAATTAGCAAGAGAAGATGCACGTGACCTCGATCAGCAGAATGTTTAACTTAGTTTAGGAACTAGTTCTCAGAACCATTGTTTCCCACCTCTCTAATTTATGCCCCAATTAATCTTCCCGGGTATTGTACAATGCTTAAATGTCCTCTAACCTTGGCATTGGAGATAGCTGGGTTATCTGCCTTCTGCTTTGTTCACCCAGCATTAGGGCAGAGTTCAGTTCTTTGAATGTTGCAATATAAAAGATAATTAAGCGCCGTTTGTAGCTTAATAGGAGATGGTGAGAACAGCTCTGCATGAGAGCCAGAGAAAGATAGACAGTAGATTAGACGCTGCCATGTTGCATATCTCTGTGCCCAGTCTAAACCTTAGTCCTGTTGCCTTTCGTTGCCTTAGTTCTTACTAACCAGGATCTAATGGTTACTGCCACATTCTAGCTTGCTCTGTCCTGAGATGGGCTCTGTTTTTTGAAGTCTTCCCCAGGCCTTGTTTGAGTTCTTTTTGTAGTTCTGTTAGTAGCTCCATCTCAAGAGGTGGTGCAGCAGTTAGAGTGCAGTACTGCAGGCCACTTTAGCTGACTGTGTTCAGCAGGTCAGCGGTTCAAATCTCACCGGCTCAAGGTTGACTCAGCCTTCCATCCTTCCGGGGTAGGTAAAATGAGGACCCAGTTTGTTGGGGGCAATGTAAATATATATATATACATTGCTTACTGGTGTACACCGCTTAGAGAGTGCTTGCACTTAAAGCGGTATATAAGTCTCATAAATAAATAAATAAATAAAATAAGAGGCCTTTCAGAATGTCTCCCAGGTCATGGCTAACATCTGGATGTCTCCAAGAGAAGAGAATGTTCGTAGCTCAGGGTGAACTGTGTGACCTCAGTGGTCTGTGAGCTTGGTGGTTTTCCTGTGGTTGTTTCGTGACCTAACTAGGTAACATCATCAGTGACAGAAGGGAGTGGGGTTTGCAGGGAAGTGGAGGGGGAGGAGGAGGTGGTCTGTAGTGTCTTTGATGCTCTCTGAGCTTGGTGGTTTCCTGGCAGACGTTTTATTACCCAACTAGATAACATCATGGGTGCTAGGAGGGAGTGGGATTTGTTCTCTGCTTAGTCCCACTCCCACTCTTTCCTTTTCTCATAATTTAGGGCAGCCTTCCTTTGCTATTTCGTTGTCGCCTTTGTTCTTTATGATGTCTTTTGTTAGCTAATGAAAAGTCATCTGCTGTTTGATGTTTTTTTTTTTTGTTAGAGCAGTCGCAGCACTTTCTATTCTTTAAAAAAAAAAAACCTTTTGTTCTGCCTTACACCTTTTTTTAGGTGTTCTTCCAAAACAATCTTTAGAAGGCTGTGTACGTTTTGGGCTGGTGGTGGGGTGGTTTTTTTTTGGTTTTTTTTTTTTTTTTTAAAGACACCTGATTTTTAGACAAGCAGCCTCTTGGCGTAAGAAACGGTTGGTCTCCCAACTGTCTTAAGTTAAATGACGGTCTTCTCTTTTCCTCCTCCTCCTCCTCCACCACCAGCAAAGCAGAAATTAGAAGACCGGTTGGCAGCTGCAGCAAGAGAGAAATTAGCCCAGGCTTCCAAAGAATCGAAAGAGAAGCAGCTTCAAGCGGAACGAAAAAGAAAAGCCGCCCTCTTTTTGCAGAATCTGAAGAATCCCCTGGCAGACATGGAAGTGGAAAAAATGGAGGAAAGTGCCTTTAACATCGAGGTGAGCAAAGGAGACACAGTTTATACTACAGTGGGAATTTTGTAATGGCACGTGGGAAAGGCCTTGAGAGAGGGGACAAAGAGATGATGGCAAGGGAAGAGTCAGAGAAGAGACTGCATAGCCCACAGCTGCATAATGGGTGGAGAAAGAGGTTCAGAAGAAACCATCTTTAATTTCTCAGGCTGTATAGGAGACGGCTGTAATGGTATGTGGGAAAGACCGCGGGAAATGGAGGGAAGAGATGCTGCTTAGGGAATGGTCAGATAAGAGAGTGCATAGCCCACAGCTGCATAATGGGTGGAGACACACTCAGAACAAACCCTCCCTAGTTTCTCAGGCTGTATAGGAGGGGGCTGTAATAGTATATGAGAAGGAGGGAAGAAGCGCTGCCTATAGAATAATCCGATAAGGGACAGCCTAGCCCAGGGCTGCATAATGGGTGGGGCACGAGACTTGGGAAGGACTCGCTCTAGTGTCTCATCCTGCACAGGAGACAGCTGTAATGGCATGCGAGAAAGACCTTGGGAGATGCTGCCTAGGGAATGGCCAGATAAGAGACAGCGTAGCCCAGAGCTGAACAATGGGTGGAGAAAGACACTCAGAAGAGACCCTCCCTAGTCTCTAGGGCAGTGGTTCTCAACCTTTTTAATGCCGCGACCCCCCCCAACCGGTCGTAAGTCGAGGACTACTCAACCGGTCATAAGTCGTGGACTACTCAACTGTGCAGCACCGTTTGCAGACTGGGACTTTTGGCGGGCTCAGCAGGGCAGAGACAGCCTGGACAATTCCTATTGGCTTTTGAAAGCCAATAGAATTGGACTCTATTCAAGAGAGTCTAATTCTATTGGCTTTCAAAAGCCAATAGAATAAAAGGGAGTAGCACAGCTAAAGAAAAGGGGGGGGGGGGAAATGGCGGACTGCGTTGTTTGGCGACCCCCGTGAAATGGTCGTTCGACCCCAAATGGGGTCCCGGCCCACAGGTTGAGAACCACTGCTCTAGGGCAATAAAGGAGGGGGCTGTACTAGAATGTGAGAAAGACCTTGGGAAATGGGGAGCTGAGATGCTGCTTAGGGAACAGTCAGATAAGAGGCGGCATAGCCCAGGGCTGCATAAAGGGTGAAGAAAGATACTCAGAAGAGACCCTCCCTAGTCTCTAGGGCAATAAAGGAGGGGGCTGTACTAGTATGTGAGAAAGACCTTGGGAAATGGGAAAATGAGATGCTGCTTAGGGAACAGTCAGATAAGAGGTGGCATAGCCCAGGGCTGCATAAAGGGTGAAGAAAGACACTCAGAAGAGACCCTCCTAGTTTCTTAGGCTGTAAAGGAGGGGGCTGTAATACTGTGTGAGAAAGACCTTGGGAAATGGGGAGACGAGATCCTACTTAGGGAACAGTCAGATAAGAGGCGGCATAGCCCAGAGCTGCGTAAAGGGCTAAGAAAGGGACCCTCTCTAGTGTCTTATCCTTTAAAGGAGATGCCTGCAATGGTGTATGAGAAAGACACTGAAAAACGGGATAGTGAGATGCTTTTTAGGGAGCGTCCAGGTAAGGGACGGCAGAGCCCACATAACGGGTGGTGAAGGAGACTCACATGGGACCCTCCCTAGTTTTTCATCCTGTAAAGGAGGCGGCTGTAATGGTATGTAGGAAAGACTTTGGGTAATGGTCAGATAAGAGAAGGCACAGCCCACAGCTGCATAATTCGGTGAAGAAAGAGACCCGGAAGGGACCCTCCCTAGTTTCTCAGTCTGTAAAGGAGACAGTGATAAATTTGCACTTTCAGACTTGCAAAATTCTTTTAACACCTAGCTTTACAATAAAGCAGAATTACGTCCTCTGGTCTGCCTAGTAAGGCTGATAAAACTGCCAAGCTGCCGTTTTGACTGCGGGCAAGGGGAGAGCTACCAGTACTGCTGAAAACATTAGTGCTTACTGAGATTGAAGAAGGAGTACTCTTTAAAAGAAGAAAAATGGTCTAAAATGAGCCACGCGTCGGTCTTCGGGGATATAAGAAATTGTGATAAATTGACTTGGCCCATTCTTCCTGATATCTCCAAAGTCAAGCAAATCATCCCCATTTAAAGGGCAGGATTGTGTGTGTGTGTGTGTGTGTGTGTTTGCTAAACCATGGGGGGAAATGCTAAGATTTGTGTTTCTAATAAAAGCATGCATGATTTGCATTTCCCAAACACGTCCGTGAACCAGAGCATAATTATCCCTCCGGATAACAATGTATTTTTCAAGGAGCAGCATTGTGTTGGGGGAACCACACCCCAAGACGTGTCCAAACACTGGAGAAACCACTTGCAGTAATGGGGCATATTAGGAAAAATCCATATGCATATCCACAAAGACGTTTATGCCAGGTGAAATGAAGAATTTTTTTCCTTCCTCCAAGGATTATTAAGATTTACTTAAGACTTGGTACAGTTGTGCTAACTGAAAACAGTTGCAAACATCCTCTGTTGCAAACTTGAAACTTTTGGCTAAGTTCTCCACATCTTCTTTGGTCCTGGAGTTTTTTAAGCTTTGGAATGTTCTTTTTCAGTCGAGGCCAGGCATTTAAGGCAACATTGGAAGCTAAAAGCAGAGCCGGGGAGCGAACAGTGGGAGCTGATAACTATTTTTGAACAAGTGTGAGGTTGTTTCTAGCCCTCAGCATGCACGGTGAAAACGGGAGTCAAGACATTCGCTTTGCTAACTGCATCGCCCTGAATTTCGGTCGAGGTGGTGCATTAGAACTGATAGAAGCTTTTGTTTTATTAATTACTACTTTTCTTCGTTTTGCTTGTTTAGAAAGAGGAGGGGATCTGGGGTCTGGAGCAAAAACAAACAAACCCCAACAGCCTAAAAAGCTGTGGGGGATGTAGTCGTTGCCAGGAGCAACTTAAGATCTACAATTCTGAAAATAATTATCCCCAGAAACTTGGGGACTTGTTAGTGCTAAGGTGGCTCCTGAAAACAAGTTTGGGGCCTCAAAACCAGAGAAACCGAATTAAATTCCCAAGGAACAAAGGTACATTGTGCTTGATCTTTGGCACCCAAGAGCTGGCAGCAGCTGTCCAAGTGTTCTCATTGGGGAGGAAAAAATAGTCTGTATTGAGAAAATAAGATCTGTATTTTTCTCTCTCCCTAGTCTAAGGGATGATCAGTCATAGCCGAAACCCCCCCCCCAAGGAGCAGGTGGGCACTTTGGCTCTTCCGGTCTATTTATTTAATCATCTCTGCCTGCGGTTGGGAGGATGACAGAGAAGTTGGCATTTTGCAGAGTGCCCACTCCTCCCTGCCTAAAATGGGGAAGCTTCGGAAAGATGTGGGGGAGACTCTCCCAGGCACAGATTCTCCTAGTCTACGCTGGCAAGTTGTTGGTTTCCAAGCTACGGTAACCAAGTGGAGCAATAGTTAACTTCTCTCCTTTGTCTTAGATCGGTGTTTCTCGACCTTGGCAACTGTTAAGATGGGTGGACTTTAACTCCCAGGCCAGCAATCTGAAGATGAAGTTGAATTGAAGTCCCACCCATCTGACGTCTGAACCGAGTCCAAACAAGTAGCGATTTGTGCTGCAAAGTGGGAAATTGGTTAAGTCAGCTTTGCCCCATTTTTACGACCTTTCTGGCCACACTTGTTAAGGGAATCACTGCAGTTGTTGAAACGAGTAAGGCGGGGTGTTCAGTGGATCTGGCTTCCCCACCGTCTTTCTGCGCTTGTCAGAAAGTCGCAAAAGGTAATCACACGGCCTTGGAACACAGCCACAGTCATAAATATGAACCGTTTGCCAAGCGTCGGAATTTTGATGACGTGACCATGGGGATGCTGCAGTGGTCATAAGTGTGAAAAAACAGTAATAATAATAACAACAACAACAAAGATGATGAAGTTGGAAGGGACCTTGGAGGTCATCTAGTCCAACCCCTTGCTCAGGCAGGAAACCCTATACCACTTCAGACAAATGGCTGTCCAGTCTCTTCTTAAAAATTTTCAGTGTTGGAGCACCCACAACTTCTGGAGGCAAGCTGTTCCACTGGTTAATTGTTCTAACTATCAGGAAATTTCTTCTTAGTTCTAGGTTGCTTCTCCCCTTGATTAGTTTCCATCCATTGCCCTTCCTTCCTTCCTTCCTTCCTTCCTTCCTTCCTTCCTTCCTTCCTTCCTTCCTTCCTTCCTTCCTTCCTTCCTCCCTCCCTCCCTCCCTCCCTCCCTCCCTCCCTCCCTCCCTCCTTAGTTCCAGGTTGCTTCTCTCCTTGATTAGTTTCCACCCGTTGCTTCTTGTCCTGCCTTCAGGCGCTTGGGAGAATAGCTTGACTCCCTCTTCTTTGGGACAGCCCCTGAGATATTGGAACACTGCTATCCTGTCCTCCCTCGTCATAAGCCACTTTTTTCAGTTCCATTGTAACTATGAACAGTCATCAAGTGAGCTGTTGTAAGTTGAGGACTAGCTGTATAGAACATTTCTGATCCCAGTTAAATTTTTACCAAGCCTTAATTTCAACATAAGGCCAACATACTTCTAAAAGATGCTCCCTCTTAAAGCAGCTTCTGCCATGGAAAGCTCCCATGGATGCTTTAACCTCCCAACTCCAAGCAACCCCAGACAGCATCAGTGTTGGGATCCGAGAATGGCTTACATTGGGCTAAGATGCCTCAAGAAGCATTAGCCAACGTTTCTAGTTTTCATGAACGAGTGTCATGAGGATCATGGTTTGTTTCCTATCCCCAAAGAATCATCTAATCTCTGGGCATTTTGATCATGGCATCATCTTTTTGCAAGCCGGCGAAAACTGTAATTAAACTCACTCTTTGGGGAGGAAATTTGGCTTGTCATTAAACTGGTAAAAAATAAGTTTGGGGCGAATGTTCCTTATCGCAAACTCTTGGGACTGGTTTCCTGGGGTTTCTTGAGCCAAAGGCACGGGATCCGTGAGACCTGACGTTGCAAAAACAAGCGAGATGGCGAGAAAGGCAGAACCATTCACCTCGGATACCAACCACCGTCTGGAAAG